GCCCACTTGGTCCTTGAGCGCCCGCTTCTCGTACTTGTGCTCGGCACACTCGTCGCGCAGCCTGGCCAGCTGCTGGTTGGCTGTTTCCAGCTCCTTGAGCAGCTCTTGATTGCGCTCCTCGAAGCTTTTTGTTCTGCGAAAAGGGAAATTGAAAGTGGCGCACGGCAAGGCTCGAGGCTAGCACACTTACTTCTCCTGCTCCGCGATGAGCTCATCCTTTTTAATCGAGATGAGACGCTGCAAATTCTCATATTCCGCGGCGGCAACACGTTGTCGCTCCTCGTACAGTTGCCGCAGCTGTCGTATATTGACCAGCTGACGTTCGTACTCCTGGCGCAGATTATTGGACATGATCTTCATTTCGCGCTCACTGAACGAGTTCTCAATCTCCTGCAGTTTCATCTTGAGCTGTGCACACTGCTCCTCCTTGACGCTGAGCATCTGCTTGCAGCAGCAGATGACCTCCTTGAGGGTGCCCACCTGGCGCTGCACCACATCCACCTCGCTGCGCAGCGACAGATTATCCGCGTTGGCCAATTGCAGTGCCAGCTGGGCATTGGCCAGCTCAATGTTGGCATGCCGACTGCGACTGCTAGGATTCTCATCATCGGGATCCAGTTGCTTCTCCAGCTGTTCCTCCGCTGGCGCTGCCGCCTCGCCCTGTGTTTGCCTGCGCAGACGTTGATTTTCCGCCTGCTCCTTGGCCAGTTGCTGGCGCAGATTGGCCAGCTCCTCACGCATATCCTGCACAGCCGTTTGACGTGCCAGCCGCTTGCTGGCCAGCTGCTCCCGGAACTCCTCCAGCGTGAGCTCGGGCTCTGTGCCGGCTGTCTCCGGCTTGGTCTCCATGTTGGCTATGGTTTGCTCCGGCTGTAGCTCCACTTTGGCTGGAAGCTCGGCAGGCAGCTGCTGCAGTATTAAATTCTCGTGCTCGATCTGCTGCCACCAGGGCTCATCGGGCGGGGCTGGCAACGTTGCGCCCACGCTCGCCGTGGACGGCTCTGAATCATGTGCTTCGGGCTGCGTTGACTCGGCATTGCCCATTCTTTTGCAGTGCTTTATTCTTCGCAGCAGGCCAAGAACAAAGAAACGATCGGCTGTCTGCCCTGTTTCTGGTATGTGCCAAATGCACTCGAATTTATTGCAATCGCAGTTGTTGTTGTTTTTCTTGTTATTGTTGCCAGCTATTGCGTCTGTTTACTTTTTGTGGCACTCGTTTAAAATTTACGTTAATGCGACTTTTCAGCTTTTCTGATTTTCTGCTTTTCTTCTAGAGGCACAGCCTCAGAGCACAAAGAACGGTTGAACCGTTTCAAGTTGAACAAAAAACCAACACAAAAACTTGGCACACACACATCCGTCTCTATATATATATATAGATATATAGCTATATAGTTCTATTGCACGCGCGATTTCGCAATTTTTTATTGACTTTCACTTTTAAAGACAAACCGAAAAAAAAAATGTTCTTAGAAGTTATAGAAGTTGTTTGGCTCTATATATTTACCGAAATATATATGCGTAAACTTCTTTGTTCAGCAAAAACTTTATAAAAATAATAAATATATATACTATATAGAAGCAAAGCAGAAGTAAAGTAATTCCCTAGTATACATATGTTGTTGTATGTATTCGTATGGAAAATTTTCGATTTTCTATCCGTCGCGAGGCACACTGTGCGCTTGGCCAGCTCGTGAAAAACTGAGAAAAATCATCTAATGGCTGGCTATTTTTAAAAAAGTTAAGAACAAGTTCTCTTGCTCTCTAGATGCTCTCCCAAAATGCTTTGTTGCATAGAAAATATGCTGGCAGAGTCTGGCACTCGTGCGCGATCAGACAGGATTTTCCCCGAATTCCTTAATTTATATACTTTCGAATGCATTTTAATTAAAATCTATCACATGATTAAGTTATAAATTTAGCTGCGACACGTCAAGCCAGATTATGACTAACAGACGGCAAAGAAAAACAGTTGCCACTTTTGATCAAAACAAAATAAGTAGCGAAGCATTCATTACCTTGGCACTGAAAGGTCTGCACAAAACTTGCACAAATATGGGAGAACAAGTTAGGTTTCGGCTTATTGCAAGTTTAAATACCCTGGGAGAATGACGATCAAATAATAATAATATCACGAATAATAACCGTGGAGGTAAATGGTATTCTAATCCATATTGCATCATACTCCCTTATAGGGAGTAAAACAATGTGCAACGTCAAATTTAATATGAACATATTTGCATATTAAATTGTATTGCAAACCATTTCAAGAAAAACATACTCAAAGGCATTCAATATGATTGGAACTTAAACTAATGTGCAAGAAGCTTATATTTAAAGAAATGGAATCATACTTAAATAATATATATAATATAATGTGAAAGGGTATTTGATACCTAGAGGTATTTTGGAATATGATAGGGTATTTTGAAATCAAATCTTGCTCATAAGCTAGGAGCGACGTTTGTTATATTAAAGTTATGTCCAAAGATATTTATAATTAAACATGTTTTAATGCGAGAAAATTGATAAATAATATATTATATAGTAGTCCGATCAAACCAAATTCGATATATGTATGTGCTGCCTGCAGCAAAAAAAAAAACTCTACCAAAATTTCCTAGAGATAGCTCCACTGAGAGCTCAGTTCACAGAGTTAAATCCAAGGCTAAATAATATTCTCTACGAGCGAAAAGATTGCTCAACCTCATTAAAGGAAAACAAGTAAGAGGTTCTAGTCGGGAGCTCCCGACTTGGGGATACCCTGAAGCCTCTTCTTCCAACATCAAATGCATGTATATATTCTATTTTAGAAGCTATATGTCAAGTTTGGTGACTCTAGCTCTTATTATTTACCGAAATTGCCCAAAAAACAGGATATTGATATCGATTTTTATCGATTGCTTGGAAACGGAGCAAGTTATCGATTATCGGGAACAAACTCGATCTGCGCAGGAACTAGGAGCAACTTACATCTAAAATTTAAAGTCTCGGACGGACGGACGGCTGGACGGACGAACGGACATGGCTAGATCGACTCGGCTATTGATGCTGATCAAGAATTTATATACTTTATGGGGTCGGAGAAGCTTCCTTCTGCCTGTTACATACATTTGGATTTTGCACAAATACCCTTTTTAATGGGTTCAAGGTATAAAAACTTCCAAGTTTATGCCTAATACCCTTGCCCAATACCCTCTCCAACAACTGTTCTTATGAGCTATCATTATGGAATGGGGGTCATAAGTTTCCCCAATGGGGATTTTATGGCAAACCTAACATCTAACTTATTAAGAAAGCAAACAAATGCAAGTGTTTAAATCAGAGCAGCGTATATCTAGTATATTTTTATATGGCGCAACATTTGTGTTTGCATTGTTTTTTCTGTTTTTTTCAGATGCACTCCCACCGAAAAAGTTTTTGGCAAAAGTTTCAAATGAAAATGCATTTTGCAACAGATTTTTCCACTGGCAACGCCAATTTTATTTTCTATTCTTTTTTATTTTTTGTTTTTCGGCTAACTTGGCCATTGTCGACGGCATTTGAAAAAGTGGGAAACACGCAGCAATGACTTTGAATGAGCAGAGCGTGGTGGCAAGGCAAGGCGGGGCTGGGGCAAGGACACACACACACACACACACACACACACACACAGACACATTTGGAAGGGTTTCCTGCTGCTGCTGCTAAGTGTCGCCCTGCAGGAGAGAAAGGAGCGTGAGTGGGCGACACACTCGAAGAGACATTGAGAGCTGGGCGAGCAGCTCAGGCTTGAAAATGAAAATCAACAATGCAATTTGCCATGTTGCCTCTTTGTTAGCCCGGCCAAAACAGAATGGAAAATAAAATGTAAGCGACTAAAACTTGAAGCGCGTTTGCCAAAACTTGCTAACCAGCCACGCCCACCCGCCCGTCCGTTGCCCTCATCAACTTTGGGCGAGATTGCGCGCCAGGCAAATGGGCAGCAGCACAAGTGGGTGGAAGAGAGAGAGAGAGGGGGGAGAGCGTCAGATGGTGTGAGCGAGATAGAGCGCTTGAGAAAATGTGCATTGTGTTCATTATAATAGCATAATAAACCGAAGCGCCTGTGTTGCAGCTGCTTTTGTTGCTATTGTTGTTGTTGTTATTGTTGTTATTGTTGCTGCTGCTGTCGCTTGGCTTCTTGCGTTTTCTCAAGTTTCAGCAGTTATTCTTTGACTGAAGTTAATAATAACTAATGAAACTTTTTGCATCTTCATTATGCCGAACGGCTCATATGGCAGGCAGGCTGCGGCAGGGCCCCTGTGCTTAATTAGCGTAACTTTGACCAAAATATTGTCAGCCCCCCCCCCCCCCTCTCCCTCTCGCACTCACTCACACATACAGCTTAATCCGCAATGTAAGAAGCAGAAGACTAGGCTGCTCTGTCAAGAGGCAAGCTCAGGAGCTGCACATTTGTAAGCAGCCAACAATCGCATACATAACTAATGCAACAAGCTTGTGCATATATTTTGCGGCTGCAAAAACAACAACAGCAAGGATATAACAGGACAAGCAGGCAACTTCATTAAGCAGCAACACGTTGACACTTCCGACTTGGGTTTCATTTCCGTTTATACATACAAATTGTTGCAGGACTTACGTGCTTATGTATCCTTGCAGCTATTACACACGATTGCACACCAGCATTATCTAAGCTTTGCACCTGCAACACACTTTTAAACAACACGGCACATTTAAATAAAAAACAATTTTGGCGCGAAACTGTGCGTCAGCTGCACAAGAATTAACACAAGTGGAAGATTACGCTCGAGTGCCCAAATTGCATTACGTCATTAAGTCCAATAAGCCGTTCACATTGATGCCTATCAGAACGCATGCAGCGTGACGTCACAAAACTGCCGACAAGCTACCTGCTCAGATTCAACATGCTTTGTCTGCAACAGGTTGGCAGCGCCAACCGATAAGTATCGGATACTTATCGATAAGTTTAACAGCACGTGCAACTCGAAGAGCCGTTTAACTTTGTTTACGTTTTTACTTGCTGGAATTCTTGAATAATGGACAACATGAAAGAGTATCCCGTGCTGACGAATTCGCGGCCCGAGTTTAAACAAATACCCGAAAAATTGAATAAGGTAAAGTGTTGCCTGCCGCCAAGCATAATCTTTAATATAATACTTGCAGCATCTGGCCAATTTGGGTGCACCGCATGTGGACTCTTTTGATGAAATGCTCAGCGTGGGCCTGGAGCATGTGGCCAGATATATGGTGCCGCAGCAATTCCAAACACCCGCCGGCGAGCGCATTAGCATAAATATTGAGAGCATTTGGATAACCAAGCCGCAGGTGCCGATGGACGTGATTGATGTGCGCACCCGTGAGATATATCCAACAGATGCACGGCAATTACACGCTTCCTACTCGGGTGTGTGCTCAGTGCGTCTAGGCTGGAGTGTCAACGATCTGGAAAAGACCCCAATCAATATGGACCTGGGTGAAGTGCCGGTCATGCTACGCTCACGCGCTTGCAATCTGGGCAAGGCCACGCCCCAAGACATGGTTAAGCATGGCGAGCACGACAGCGAGTGGGGCGGCATCTTTGTGATACGCGGCAACGAGAAGATCGTGCGCATGCTCATCATGACGCGTCGCAATCATCCCATCTGCGTGAAGCGCTCCTCGTGGAAGGATCGCGGTCACAATTTCAGCGAACTGGGCGTCATGGTGCAAACAGTGCGAGACGATGAGCTGTCCCTGACCAATGTGCTGCACTATCTCAACAATGGCACCGCACGCTTTATGTTCTCCCATGTCAAGCGCCTGTCCTACGTACCCGTCTGCCTCATACTCAAGTGCCTAATGGACTACACGGACGAGCAGATCTATAATTGTCTGGTGCAGGGCTACGAGTCGGATCAATACTATTTGACCTGTGTGCAAAGCATGCTGCGTGACGTGCAGAACGAGGGCGTCTACACATCCGCCCAGTGTCGCTCCTTTATTGGCACCCTCTTCCGTTCGCGTTTCCCCGAAGTGCCCGACTGGCTGCCGGATGAGGCCGTGACCGAGTATATAATGCGCGAGCGCATCATGGTCCATCTGTCGACGAACGAGGAGAAATTCCAGTTGATTGTGTTTATGGTGCAAAAGCTATTTCAGTGCGCACAGGGCAAGTACAAGGTGGAGAACGTCGACTCGGCCATGATGCAGGAGGTGCTGCTGCCCGGACATCTATACCAGAAGTATCTGGGTGAACGCATTGAGATGTGGTTGCTGCAGCTGCGCCGGTGTCTGCTAAAGAAACTCAACGCACCGGATTCGCTGGCGAGCAGCAGCATCATGACGCAGTGCATGCGACAGGCGGGCGGCGTGGGACGCGCCATGGAATCCTTTCTCGCCACGGGCAATGTGGCCTCGCGCACTGGCCTGGGTCTGATGCAGAGCAGCGGTCTAGTCATTATGGCGGAGAACATCAATCGCATGCGTTACATGTCCCACTTTCGGGCCATACATCGTGGCTCCTACTTCACCACGATGCGCACGACGGAGGCGCGTCAGCTACTGCCCGATGCCTGGGGCTTCATTTGCCCGGTGCACACGCCCGATGGCACGCCCTGCGGCCTGCTTAACCATCTGACCCTGACCTGTGAGATATCCAAGCGTCCGGACCCGAAGCTGGTGCAAGTAAGTTACCTTTGAGCACCTAATCTCGACTAGCTTTAATAGATTCTCCTCTTTTCCAGGCTATTCCAGCTATGCTATTGGAGATGGGCATGATGCCTTTGTCGCAGCAGGGCCAGCCGGATGCCAAGCTGTATGTGGTGTTTCTGGATGGCAAACACTTGGGCCACATTTTCCAAACCGAAGCTACCAAAATGGTCGAGGATTTGCGCTATGCCAAGATCACGGGAAAAGTGCCTGAAATGATGGAAATTGGTTTTATACCGTACAAGAAAAATGGCCAGTTCCCGGGTCTGTTTCTATCCACAGGCCCGACGCGCATGATGCGTCCCGTGTGGAACCTGAAATGGCAGCGCGTCGAATACATCGGCACACTGGAGCAGCTGTACATGGAAATAGCCATCGATGAAAAGGAAATGTATCCGGATTTCACCACACATCTCGAACTCTCCAAGACGCACTTTATGAGCAACCTGGCCAATCTTATACCAATGCCGGACTACAATCAGTCGCCGCGTAACATGTACCAGTGCCAGATGGGCAAACAGACGATGGGCACACCATGCCTCAACTGGCCCAAGCAGGCGGCCAACAAGCTGTACCGACTGCAGACGCCAGCGACGCCGCTGTTCCGTCCGGTGCACTACGATAACATACAGCTGGACGACTTTGCCATGGGCACCAATGCCATTGTGGCTGTCATTTCGTATACGGGCTATGACATGGAGGACGCCATGATCATCAATAAGTCGGCCTATGAGCGTGGATTTGCCTACGGCAGCATCTACAAGTCCAAGTTTGTGCAGCTGGCCAAAAAGCAAAGCTACTTTGCCCGGCATCCGCACATGCCGGAGCTGATCAAGCATCTGGACACGGACGGGCTGCCGCATCCGGGCACCAAGCTCAGCTATGGTTCGCCTCTCTACTGCTATTTCGACGGGGAGGTCTCCACATTCAAAGTGGTCAAAATGGACGAGAAGGAGGACTGCGTCGTGGACAGCGTGCGTCAGTTGGGCAGCTTCGAGCTGATGCCCCGCAAGACCGTGTGCATAACGCTGCGCGTGGCCCGACCGGCGACCATCGGTGATAAGTTCGCCTCACGTGCCGGCCAAAAGGGCATCTGCTCACAGAAATATCCCGCTGAGGATTTGCCCTTCACCGAATCGGGTCTCATACCGGATATTGTGTTTAATCCCCATGGTTTCCCCTCGCGTATGACCATCGCGATGATGATTGAGACAATGGCGGGCAAAAGCGCTGCGGTCCATGGCGGTGTCTATGACGCGACACCGTTCCGCTTCTCGGAGGATAACACAGCCATCGATTACTTTGGCAAAATGCTGGAGGCGGGCGGCTACAATTATTATGGCACGGAGCGTCTCTACTCCGGCGTCGATGGACGCGAAATGACAGCGGATATATTTTTTGGCGTGGTGCACTACCAGCGCCTGCGTCACATGGTCTTCGACAAGTGGCAGGTGCGCTCCACGGGCGCCGTGGAGGCGCGCACAAATCAGCCGATCAAGGGCCGAAAACGTGGCGGTGGCGTGCGTTTCGGTGAGATGGAGCGCGATGCTTTGATCTCGCATGGTGCCGCCTTTCTGCTGCAGGATCGCCTCTTCCACAACTCAGACAAGACGCACACGCTGGTCTGCCACAAATGCGGCAGCATTCTGGCCCCGCTGCGTCAGATCATCAAGCGCAACGAGACGGGCGGCTTGTCCTCCATGCCAGACACTTGTCGCCTTTGCGGCGACAGCAGCGGCGTCTCCATGATCGAAATTCCATTCTCGTTCAAATTTCTGGTAACCGAACTGAGCTCGGTCAATATAAATGCCAGATTCAAGCTGAGTCACATCTGAGACTCGTTCTAGTTATTCAATTGTTGTGCATACCTATACCTATTATCGCTATGACTAATCTTTTACATATATTTGTAATAAAGTTACCTGTTGTAACCAAAACCCCATTAGAAATTCTGGAAATTATTCAAATTAAGTGTAAAAATTCAAGTTCCAGACAAGAAGGATATACACATATGCGGGTTCGGCTGTTCGTTGATCACTTATCAGTTATTCAGGTGATATATTGAGATAAATATATAAATATATATTGGAAAAATGTACTTACCTGTCCAACGCACCATTATTTGAGCGGCATGTATCATTAGACGGGAGGCGAAGTTTTATATTAAAACACTGAAAGAACAGAAAAGCATTAGCTTGAAAACTTAGCTTTTTTTAAAATGTAATAAGATAAAGTCAAGTCTATAATACGTACCAGTTTATTTTTAAATTTTTATGCTCAGGCTGCCGCTTCCTTCTGAGCTCAGGCTGCCGCCTCCTTCTGAGCTCAGGCCGCCGCCACCTTCTGAGCTCAGACTGCCGCCACCTCCAAGGCTCAGGCCGCCGCTTCCTCCTAAGCTCAGGCTGCCGCCTCCTCCTAGGCTCAGGCCGCCGCTTCCTCCTAAGCTCAGGCTGCCGCCTCCTAGGCTCAGGCTGCCGCCTCCTTCTGAGCTCAGGCCGCCGCCTCCTTCTGAGCTCAGGCCGCCGCCTCCCCCTAGGCTCAGGCCGCCGCCTCCTCCTAGGCTCAGGCCGCCGCCTCCTCCTAAGCTCAGGCTGCCGCCTCCTCCTGGGGTCAGGCTGCCGCTTCCTCCTAAGCTCAGGCTGCCGTCTCCTCCGAGCCGCCGCCGCCTTTACTTGAACTGAAGCCTATGCGACTTACTTGAATTCATGAGAATCGAGTAGAAGAGCCTTTGTTAAGAATACGTTTTTTTAAATTGCAGCTCAGCTAGAGGTACACTTGGTGTTGCATATACACATACAAATTATATGCATACATTCATTAACATATATAAATGCATACACAATATATACATACACACACACATGCATACATACGTACACACACATTTGAATATATACATGTTTGTATTGTATTTGTTGTATTGTATTGTTATATACACACATGCATTCATACAAACATACATACATACATACTACATGACACACATACATACCCAAACGCATACTCATACGTACATACATACAAATACAATATTGCCTTCATATATATACTTAAATACATTAACATAAATATACACACATTCATACATACATATATTCATACACGCATACATACATACATATATTCATTCACACACACATACATACATACATATATTCATTCACACACACACACATACATACATACATACGTACATACAAACATACATACATACATACATACAAACATACATACATACATACAAACATACATTCATACATACAAACATACATACATACACACATCTATACTTGCATGCATACACATACATATATACACATACATACGAAACATACATACATACTTACAAACATACATATACAAACATGCATACATATGCACATATTTATGCATGCATACATACACACCTACATGCATGCATGCATACAGACATACATACACACATACACATACACGCTATTTATACAGGTAAGATAGCATTAAAATGTTTGTTAAATTAGATTTAAAATCAGCTTTCTCAGCATTCCACCGTCTTTTGTACTTACAAAAACTGAATAGATATGCTTGTGAGTTACACTTTTCAAATTTCCATAGACTTTTATTTATTTTAAATACATATTTCTTTATGTTTACAGTTAAATTCCTGCTTTTGCTATCTGTAGTTTGTTGTTGTTGTTTTTTTTCTTTTTTTGTTGTAGTTGTTGCTGTTGCTATCTTTTATTGTGGAATTCGTTTAACAATTTAACTATCGCAGCTTTAGAATATGAATTTCCAAATAGCCAAATAATAGCTTAAAATGTGTGTATATTTTTGTTTATTCACTTCTTTTTCAAGTTTTTTATTTTAATTATTTGTTCTTGTGTCTCTTTGACTGCAACATTTTATGGCGCTTCAGATGCACATCGGGGGAATAGTTAATACTTGCTGATTGATATCAATGTACTTAATATGATTTTGTCCAAACAAAATTTCAACTTGATTTTGAATTTGAAACAATTTCTATATAGTTGCTTTACTTTTTCTTTTTCGTTTTTTTTTTTTTGTTTTTGTTTTTTACATACATATCTATGGTACATATACGAAATAATACATAGTACATGCTCAGGATCAATCGAGAATTTTTGCTATACGTTTATAATAATAAGTTGTTGTAATGGTTGTCCTTTAATATATATGTACTTGTAGTAGTATTTGTAGTATACTTTATTATATTAGTTTGTTCAAGTTCAACAATGTTTAATGTAATGTTTGTATGTGTGTTGTGTGTGTGTGTATGTGTGTTAATCGAAAAAATTTGTTTGTGATTTTCACCATCTAATTATTTGTCTATCATTTAATGAGATTTACGGCGCCAGCTGCTACTTCTACTAATTCCTCAAGGACCTACGCACTTGTCTCCACAATCTCACAATCTCACAATCAAAAAACACTAAACATTGAATTTATTTTCTTTTTATGCCTTTATGCGTAATAATTTGTTGTTAATAACATAACGATTTTTGTATTTATATCATTCCATTTATAAATTGTTTATAATTTGTTTCTTTTGCTGCTTTATTACAACAATGTTATATATATATATGTATATATATATATATATATATGTGTGTGTATTTATATATATATACTAGGTATATGCATGTATGCTTGTATGAATCTGTTTTATATATATAAATATATATATAGTAATATCCAACTGCTAATGCTTGTCATACAACATAATCTAATTATGTTTTACTAATGAACTTTTTGAGCTTAACATTTACAAAGAATTCTCTCTCGTTAGCAATTACAAAAAATAATAATAAGAATAATAATAAGTATATTGAAAATGGAAAATCAGACGCATTTTAACAACTAGCGCGTTAAGAAATATATAAAACATGTGAAAAATTGCATGCGCTGAAAATGGGAAAACAAAACTCACTGCAGTATAGTATAATAGGTGTGTGTCTATGTGTGTGTGTGTGTGTGTATGTGTGCTAGTAGAGGAGGTAAACATGTGAAGAGGCGTGGTCGTGGGCGTGGGCGTGCCATACAAATACGTAGCACAATTAACGGCTTAAACATAGCCCGCATTTAGGTTCGAGGAAACATGTCATTATATACTTTGATTTGATATCATTCTCTAGGTGATTAGGATTGTGCATTCTGTAAATGTGGTTTGCTGCAGTAGCTCCCTAGACATATCCCCCACTTAGACGATTGTCTGCCTGATTTAAAACTGATCCGACAACAGATCGCATATCTCTCGTGTCACTGTCTCCTTGCTGGCACGTATGGTTAATCGGAACATCTACAAAAGGTATAAATATATTAGAGTTGAGTATGCAAAGTTAAGGCTAATTATGTTTCCTCACCTGTGCCTGTTTATTGGGCTCCAGTCGCAGCAGGCAGCCCACCTGCTGTGATTGCGTATGTATGATGCCCGCACATACCATATTGTCTGGATTGGGATCAACCTGATCGAGCAGCTGCATGCCAAAGCCCATTAGCTTATTGCGTGCACCAGGCAAATCCAACGGCTGTGCGGCCTTGAACACCTTCTGCGACCGCTGCTGTTCACTGTGGGTGTGGTTGGCAAAGTAAAAGGATTAGGTATACATTTGGATAATTGGCCAAAGCGTTTGGTTGGTTACTAACCCGCTGAGATTCTTCCATCGCGCAAAAAATGACTCGGCATTCATTTCGGTTGGCTCGAAGAATTTATTCACGGTGAGCGGTAATTTGATGCTAAACTTTTGCTGTGTGCCATTGTAGCGGAAACTGATCTCAATGGTGGGTGCGTCGGCATAATCCTCGATGCATTCAGCGGTCAGCAGCTGCTGGATTTGTGCGCCAGCCTCAAGCGTTGGCTCCACGGCCTTCATTTGCACATTCAACTTGAGCGTGTCCTCGGCAGACCATTGCAACACGGGATTAAAGTTCTAAAATACAAAAGGAATTATATATATATTACTATATAGATTCATCCGGACCATCCGGATTACTCACCGTCAGCGGCACTTGCGTCTTGTTGCCATAGAACAAGCCCAAACGACCGAGATTCTGTCTGAACTCGGACTTGACGCCAATCTGGAGCATCTCGTTCTCGAAGAGCACACCGTTATTTTTGAACAGAAACTTCTTGGTGTTGTAGACGGCGGCATTGTTGTTTCCATAGATGTCGCCCAGCACATCGAGCAGCGTTGAGTTGTTGCTGTTGTTCATGTTGTTGATGTTGTTAGCGGGCGGCGTGCTGAGGCCCAGCAAGTCGGCATTGGCATTGGCATTGCTATTCAGTTTGTTGTTATGATTGACGTGCGCATTGTTCTGCGTGATGGATGTGGGCGCTGGGCTCTTCGATTCGCGTATTTCATTCTCGGGCACGCGGCCGGGCTTCTTCTTCTTGAGCACCGCCAGTATGGAGCTCTCACGCTCCGGGAATGAGGGCATCTCCTCCAGCACTGTGGCCAGGACATCGGTTGACGCCACAATGCTCAGCTGCAGATATTCGCTGGCGCGCTGCTGCAGCTCCGCGTCGGCGGAACGCAAATTGCTGTGCTGCCTGAACACCTCCTGGATGTTGGTGCGTATCTCGGGAAACAGATTGATGAACTTAATATAGGTGGAGAGCAACAAGGCGCGCGTCATGGGCGAGCACAAATGATACTTGGAATGCAGCAGCTTGAACTGCACCAGCGGCGCCGACCGAGAATCGCCCGCAATCAGATTGCCAAACTCGCCCAATATATAGCCGCCCACCTTGACCATGTTCTCGTGACAGGCGGGCGCCTGCAATGCCTCGAACACGGTCTTGGCGGCATAGCCCTGCACCTCCTCGCGATTGATGACAATCTGTATGACACGATACCAGACCTCCTCCGACACATAATCGCCGGCGATGCGTATTAGATTGAGAATAACATCCACATACCTGAAACACAAATGTAGGTTGGAATCATTAGCAACAGGGTGAGGAGTGGGAATAAAAGTGCAGTCTTACCAGGTGTAGTCCGTGGCATATTTCTCAGCCAGAATGGCCACCTTGAGTACCATCTCCTCACGTATGGAATAGTCAGCCGTCTCCAGATAGTTGAGCATCTCTTGGACAATCTCCTCGGCGTTGCCGCGATCGCACATGGCATAAAGCAAATCGACAGCCATTTGGCGCACCGAAACATCCTTCTCCATTTTCATAGATAGTATAACCACCTCCTGATGCTTCTTGACCTCCTCGTGCGAGAACTCCGACGTCGCCAGATGGCACATGGACTCAAGCGCCAGATAGCGCAAATTGGTCTCCCGATTGCTGAGGAACTGGCCCAGCTGATTGCAGGCGCGCACGAGCAGATTGGGCTCACTGTCGCTATGTATAATCAGATTGATGGCCTCGAAGAGTACAGCATTTTTGGCATTCGAATGCTGAACCTTCTTGCTCTTGGGCGGCTCCTGCGCCTTATTCAGTATGGTCTCCAGCGTCTCGTTGAGGCGTGCCCGCACGCCGGCCTCCTCGGTGACCGGATTATAGTTCTGCAACAACCGCAACAGTTTCACCGATAGCCACGGTGCCGGCACAAAGTAATACGTGTAGTCCTGCAGATCCGTATAGCTGGCGGTGACAATGCGCGACAGACGCGACACGGCCAAATTAACGCAGCCCTTATACTCGTCCGGATTGCGCTTGACCAGGGCATCGATCAGCGATGTAGCTGCCGTTACCACGCCCATATGCTGATCGTTGAGCAAGTGTATGATGCGTGAGGTCCACTCGCCGCCGGGTATAATATCCGGCGAGGAGCGAAACAGACGCAGCAAGCACAAGGCCGCCGACTGCTTGACCACATCCATGGTATCGCCCGAGACGAGCAGCTTGGGTATCTCATTTGAGAAGGACTCGGCCATGTCACGGCTGCCAATGTTGGCAATGCACTGCAGCGCCAGATTCACGTGCACCGGATTCCGTGATTGCAAATCATTCTTGATCGACTGAATGATCAATCGGATCAGATCGCTGTTCGTATTCACCAGCACCGAAATGAACAGATAGCCCTGCAAAAAGTAGCATCTTATGAGTATATTTAAATAACAATTAGCCAAGTTCGTATTACTCACGATCTGCTTCTCTGAGTATTTGTTGGAGGACAGCAGATTGACCGCCTCCATGTGGCCAAAGTCAATGTCATGGCCCAGCAGGAATATGAACAGCAGCTTGCACACATATTTCTTCTTCTGATAGCCATCGAGCGTTTTATCGCCTTTAAATTTGCTACGTATGTTGGCCAACTCTTTGTTTATGCGTTTCACTTCCGCTTCTTTGCTTTTACCTGTGAAATTAAAGGAAGATGAGTAAGTTTGTGGGAGATAAAATAAATGAATTTAGTTTCCACTGAAGGAGGCACATTTGTTTATAGCACAAAAGGTATATACATATATGTATATCTGAATGTCAGCATCAACCGCGAGTCGAATTAGCCATATAAAACTGCCTCTAGTTACCCGTACTAAGCTCTTAGCTAAGCTATCTTGCTGAAGCTTCTTGTAAATGCTTTAAAATATACTATCTTCAACATTCGGCGATATTTATTATCGTTTAACTACTAGTTCATATTAATATAGTTTCTAGAACTGGAATTCTTGTTTGAAATCCTTTTTGGTTTTCTAATTTCTTTACAGGATAGGATAGTCAAGTGTGGGTCAAGGTTTGTGTTGTGTTTTTTATTTATCTTTCTATGAGTCAGGGGGTTCATCAAGCCGGAAACTCACAACTCTCCCGCTCAGTATACACACACTCTCTCTCTCTCGTTCGGCAATTAGTACCAGTCACCGATTTGAGCGATCGGGAGAACGGCCACGCAATAGATATGCTGGCGAGTTGACCAGCAAATGGGCCGTTATATGTCTGTGCGATAAACGAATGGAAGAGCGTCGGGAGTGAGCGCTGGGCAAAGCGACTAGTTAAGGCTACAGAGTACAAACAATTTGCGGTACATACACACACACACGCACACACACACACATACACACTTGGACACAGATTGATATGAAAGCCGCCCCGCTTTGCGACTGCCGTTGTTCTCGTAATTGAACAAGAAATGTCGACATTGACGCCCCTATGAGAGTTATGAATATATTTGGATAAGAAAAGCGCTGATAAATTGAATTAAAAATTAAAAATAAAATAAAATCAAGTGAGAGTGCACTCGACTAGAAAATACCCAGAAGCATATAGTTCTCTTCCCTAAGTCATACAGCATGAAAAAAATCAAAACAAACTTTAATAACTCGGAAGTTCATTATCCGAATAATTTAAAAATTGCTGTGCTAAGAGATGACCTTTAAATGTGGGCGTATACCAAAGATCAAGGATATACCTCCAAAAATGTAGATTTCTTTTCATGATTAACCTAGGAAAGCCTATTCAATAAGGTACATGTTCTTGAGCCGTACATTTTTGATAAACTAAGTGTTCAATTTTGTTTCTCTAGCTTGTATAATTAAATAGTATAAAACGAAAATTAATGATAATTTTGAAATAAAATCTTTCTAGAGCTTACATAAGAGCATTCAGCTCGTATAGCCTTATGGATCATCTACATAGCTTTTGATACTGCTCAAGAATATATATATATATATGCTCTATGTGGTCAAAATTGCTCTCTATGCTTTTTTTATATTTCCTCAAAATCAATATGCCCATTTTCGGTGCGTACAGAGTGTAATAACAGTCTATTACTGAGTTACGTATGCAATAGCTATGTCTACTCATGTGTTTACTTACAATTTCTTATATCCGATATAAACACGGCCAGGCCTCTCATGCCATCCCCCCTCACCGGCGCCATTGTAGTTAGCTTGTTAATTTTCGCTGGTTTTATGCAAACTCGGGGCGAAGAAAGATCTGTGCTCGAGCGCTCGAGTCGATGCGGCGCTCTTATCGCTCAGGCTCCAACGACAACGACAACGACAACAACAACAGCAGCAAAATGGCAGCAACAACAACCGCAAGAACAACAACAACTAACGGGTAGCTCGAGAACTGTGCGACGTTGCCACTTGCTGCAGTCCGTTGCTGAGACTGATGAATGGCAAATTTTGATTTGCTAGCGAAAACAAAATAATGTTCTTTTCTCCTGCTCTCACGATCTCTCGCTCGCTGTGGCTCTCTCGGCAGCAGAAGACCTGTTGAGAATATAATATATATATTTGTTTAACAATCAATTGATATCGATAACAGTTTTGTTATTGCCTATTGGCATATTTGGCGCAATTTGAACTTTTGACATTTGGCGAGCAAGCATACGCCCCCCCCTCCCGCACACACACACACTGCTCCGCAGCCCGCCCACTCGTTTATATATTTGGCAAGCGCGTTGGCAGCACTTGCAATGTATATATATACATATATGTATACATGTTAATGTGTGTGTGTATTTTAAACAGCAACAACAACGGCAACGGCAGCTGCAGGCCTGATAACGCTTTGGTTTTGATGACCTTAATGCAATGTTTTATCACAATTTGCACTTGTTTAGGTAAATAAATGTATTATTAGTGCACGATCAGTGCCACCGGCTGGAGCCCTTTGTTGTTGGCAGCGCTTATTTTGCTTTCATGTCACGTCTCGCAGTCGTCGTAGTCGACGTCACTTTTTTTTTTTTTTCTTTCTCTTCACATGAACCACAGCCAACGGGCCGCAAGATGACGAAGTCGTTTTATTTGCACAGACCGCAAAAACAGCACCACGAAACGTTCCGAAATTTCGTTTTTCATATTTTTTTTTTATGCCATAACACACACACACGCAATTGCTGTAAGTCGCGACTCAAATGCGAATCGAATTTGGTAGCCGCTGGTGCTTACTTTTTGAAACGCTGCAGCCAAAATGTTTTTGCAGAGAGTTTGCTGGAATTTGTGTCGTTTCGTTTCGGCTGCGGCTGCGGCTGCTGCTGCCTTTTCGGGGTTTTCGGGTTTTCTGTTGGGTGTTGGCCGCGGAATGTGTCGATGTGTGTGTGTGTGCTGGCGATGCAGCACTTTATTTAACCCGTGTATGAATTTGAATTGCGTTCAATTGCTGTTATTAATTGTAAACTAACGCAAAACAAGCAGAGCAGCCAGGCATTTCACGAACTGAAAATTTCTATTGATTTTTCCTCTACACTCCTCTCCATGCAACAGCCATCTAGCGGACACAGTGCTGTTAAACGTCAGCAACTGGCGCGTTTCGCGGCAAGTGCTGCATAATACATGTAAAAGCTGCACACACTTTCCAGCACTACCACTTTACAACTCCGCCATTTTTTGCGCTACAGCGTTGCATATGCCGAATGGTCGTCGACTATTTGTAGTACTCTACGTTTTTTATACTCCAAGAAAATAAATATAAAATGCTAGCGCATTTGAATGTGCACTAAGCGACCCGGCGAGCACAACGATTGCATATACAAGGACAAGTGAACGGTTAACAAGCAATTACGCATGTGTTACGTACTGCCAGCGCCGTGTTATCATCAGAATCAGCGCAGCCGCCATAAAACTGGCTCGAGAATTGCAATTAATTGCGGAATCAATAGGAAACAACAGCATCCAGAGCCGCAAACAAGGCCGTGGGCGTGCTTGCCAAGCGTTCCAACATGAGTTTTTCCAGCGACGAGGTGAACTTTCTAGTTTTCCGATATCTACAGGAGTCAGGTGAGTGGAGGAGGAGAACATTGACAGACGGCCCAAAGCTAACTCTCCCCCCTCCCCCTTCCCCATGCTGGCGTGTTCTTTTCCAACGACAGGCTTTCTACACTCCGCCTATGTCTTTGGCATCGAGTCTCACATCTCGCAGAGCAACATTAATGGTGCTCTCGTGCCGCCCGCTGCCCTGCTCACCATACTGCAGAAGGGTCTGCTCTACACGGAGGTGGAGTGGAGCGTGGGCGAGGATGGCGAGATGGCGCGACCCATTGAGGGCCTCAGCCTGATAGACGCCGTCATGCCGGAAGTCAAGCCACCGAAGCCGACAGTCAAAACAGAACCGGGCAAACCGGCCGTCGATGCCAGCACGCCGGCCAATGTTAATTCGAATAGCAATGCGAAAACGGAAATCAAGATCGAGCCGGGCACAGGCAATACGACTGCTGGCGCTGCCGCCAAGGGCACCAATGCCAGCACCGGCACCAGCACGCCCACCGGCAGCAGCGGTGCCGACACCAACGAGGTGGACTCCAGCGGCAATGCGGCATCCAACAACAGCAATAACGCCGCCGCCAGTGGTAACAATGCCAGCGGCACAGCTGCCGGCGCTGCTGCTGCTAACTCAACGACAGCTGCGGCCAGTGGCAATGCGGACAGCGCTGGCGGCGCAACTGCGGCGGCTAACAAAAAGGCGGGAGCTAATGAATCTGGAGCCACCAGCAGTACGGCGGCCTATCCGAATGCCACAAACGCAGATGATGCCGCCTCATCTACGTCCACAAATGGCAACAGCAGCAACGCCAGCAGCGTGGAACAACCAGCGGCAGGCGGCACGCCCGCCGTGCCAGCCGGTGCCAATGCGGAGGCTGGTACAACGGCTGCGGGAACTGCTGCAACGGGCGCCAAGGCGGCCAGCGGTGCAACTAGCACGCCGGCAACCCGAGTCGGCGCTCAGGGCAATAATGTGCAGACCACCTGCTCGACGACGGCGCAAAGTGCAGTGCCCAGCAGCACCACACCGGGCAATGGTGGTGGCGGTGCTGGAGGAGGAGGAGGAGGCGCTGGTGGCAATGGCGGAGGCGGCAGCGGTGGCACAGGCACGCCCGGCAGCACCGTCGTCGAGGCAATGGACATTGATCAGAGCATAGAGATACCTGAATCAAAGGCCCGCGTGCTACGCGGCCATGAGAGCGAAGTGTTCATCTGCGCCTGGAATCCCAGTCGAGATCTGCTCGCCAGTGGCTCCGGCGACAGCACCGCACGCATCTGGGACATGTCCGATGCGAACGCCAACTCCAGCCAGCTGGTGTTGCGGCACTGCATACAGAAAGGCGGCGCCGAGGTGCCCAGCAATAAGGATGTCACCTCTCTGGACTGGAACGTGAGTAGCCAAGCATAGTTGAATGCTATCGATATTTGATATGTCGCACATATCGTTATCGATATCGAATGATGCTCACGAGCAATCGCTCGACCTGCAACACTGAAATTATTTTCAATTTATATCGAAAATATTTCCAATCGGTATTGTTTTTTTGTTGCAGTGCGACGGCTCGCTTCTGGCCACGGGCAGCTACGATGGCTACGCACGCATCTGGAAGACAGATGGTCGCCTGGCCTCCACGCTGGGCCAGCACAAGGGCCCCATCTTTGCGCTCAAGTGGAACAAATGCGGCAATTACATTCTGTCCGCGGGCGTGGACAAAACGACAATCATCTGGGACGCATCCACGGGCCAGTGCACGCAACAGTTTGCGTTCCATAGTGCGCCCGCCTTGGACGTCGACTGGCAATCGAATCAATCGTTTGCCTCGTGCAGCACAGATCAGCGAATCCATGTGTGCCGGCTGGGCATGAACGAACCGATCAAAACGTTCCGTGGGCACACGAACGAGGTGAATGCAATCAAATGGTGTCCGCAGGGTCAGCTGCTGGCTTCCTGCTCCGATGATATGACACTCAAGATCTGGAGTATGACGCGCGATCGTTGCTGCCACGATTTGCAGGCGCACTCCAAAGAGATCTACACGATAAAATGGTCACCCACCGGACCCGGCACAAATAATCCCAACACGAATCTGATACTCGCCTCCGCATCGTTCGATTCGACGGTCCGCTTGTGGGATGTGGAACGCGGCAGCTGCATACATACGCTTACCAAGCACACGGAACCCGTCTATTCCGTGGCCTTCAGTCCGGATGGCAAGCATCTGGCCTCGGGCAGCTTTGACAAGTGCGTGCACATCTGGAGCACACAGACCGGACAGCTGGTGCACAGCTACAAGGGCACGGGCGGTATTTTTGAGGTCTGCTGGAATTCCAAGGGCACCAAAGTGGGCGCCAGTGCATCCGATGGCAGCGTTTTTGTGCTCGATCTGCGAAAGTTCTGATCCGCAGCAGCAGCAACAGCAGCAGCATCAGCAGCAATAATTGATACATCTGCCAACTCCCAGCACCTTTTAGGTTATGTGTATTGACGTGACCTGGATTCTAATATGCTTTTCGCTTCTGTTTTGAATGTTAACTTCAATGTTCTGCCCACTGTCCATTTACTGAGTTTTTCTCCCTCCTGCCGCCTCCCTCACTTCGAGTCAAGACACGTTGCCCCTGTCTGTGTGCTGGAAGTGTCGCTCGCGGGGCGTGACAAACCGAGTTTAAGAACGCCTCGCGCAGCGATTTCGACCAGTCGTCAGTCGGCGGGAAACGCGCTTTTAATTTAGCCGTAAGCTCCATATGTTTCTAAGTATTCATTTTTATACACAGATAACTCGTTTAGTATATAACTTGATGCATTTTATTGTTATTTTGTATACATGAGCGCAGTCTGGCCCAGGCCCAAGCCCAAGCCCAATTAAGTCTTAATCGAGCAACCTTTTATCGTTAGACCTAAGCATTATAAAGTGCATGCAAAAAATAAGTTAGTCGCCGGCAAACGGAGACGGAAACAAAAACGAACACGGATCCAAGCTAAATGGATGACAACCGGCTCACGCTTACATTCGAACAGTGTAACTGCATCCCAACGTAGTGTGTAAACGATACTAATTATAAAGAATGGCCTTAACAGCGGCTACAATTAATTAAAGCTCCAAAATCGAACTCGAGCTTTTCTTTTCTGGTGCGCAGGCACGCTAGAGATAAGGGGACCATTGCAGCAAGTTTGAATGGGAATATAAAATAAAGCAATAAAAATTGCAGTCTCCGGTAAGCCGGAGATTGTATATAGCATTTAATATGTGGTATTGCATCATTGTTCTGCTTATTCCAATGGGAGTTGATATGATAAAACAAGCTGATAATACGCTCAGCGGGTGCTGCCAAGCAAAACTGGCAGCACTGGTTCTTTAAGGCGGTAATACACAGCCAAACGGTGTAGGTAGCACTGGTTCCTTGAGGCGATAATGTACAGCCAAGTGAAATTGGCAGCACTGTCTCTGCAGCAGCCAGTGCTGCCAATATCATTTTCACGCAAAGTAAAAATCTGGACCATTTTTATATCGCTTAACTACAAAATATATTGGAAACATTTCTAGGGTATAAATAGTTGGTATAAAGTCTAAAATTCGGTTACATTATCCAGGTGACACTGTTTGAAGAAGCGGCATTCCTCGCGCTTCACTTCACCTGTTTTGGTGGTGCCCTTGAAGAACTTGGTCAGCTTTGTGCCCGCATATTTGGGCTTCTCCGAGTCGGGCTCATCGAATTCCATGTCGTATGCCTTGTCCGCCAGCGCATTCTCCGCCGTTGACCAGCTGAAGCGCACCAGACGCGGGAAACCAAATACCAAATCAATATTCTCGGTAAGGAATCGTTTGGTGACAGGATCACCGGGGTAGCCGCTGCCAAATGCATTGTCCTTAATGATCAGGCCCTCGGGAAACTGCCAGACCTTCAGAGCATGATCGCGGGTTACCTTGGCGCATATACTGGCCGCCGAGACAATCGGATAGGTGGAATCGGCCTTTTTGGCCACCGTTATTTTGAAATTGGGAAACCGTTTGAGCAGCTTCTCCTGATACTTCTCCGGCGGGCCCACCGTGTCCACATAAACTTCGGCTATATTGACGCCCGCATCGATGGCTTCTTGTATCAGACCCATGGCCGAGTCCATGGAGACCTCATTCAGCGAGCACTTGGTGCGTCTATACATGCTGCTGCTGATGACATTAGGTGAAATGATTTCCACGGCCCAGCCAATGCAGCTGTTCGCATACTCCAGCGTGTTCAGATCGTTGAAGATGATCTCCCGCTTCTCCTCGGTTAACTGCTTGGAATCTGCGCAGCCCAGCTCGACCAGAGCGCTTTTACTCTCCAGCGGGCAGTAGGAGATGCCGTATACCATGGGGCCCAGCACGGGACCACGGCCCGCCTCATCCACGCCCAGCATGCAGGGCTGCTCCTTGCAGATTGCTGGCACATCGCTCAAATAAATTGTATTTTTGCTGTTTTCGCGCGCAGCAATAAACGGGCCGAGTGACTTCAGCGAGCTTATCCGATTAATATCACCCGTGGGCTCTTCATCCTGTATTATATTGGGTTTTTCTTCACTTTCATTCTTAATTTCTATATCTTCCATTTTACGCGCGGTTTTTATTGTTTACCTAATCGATAGGCAAGAATATATGGATCGAACATTGTTTACGTTTTATGGCAGTGTTGGTAAGCGCACGCGCTGCCATTCACAGCGACGCGACAAAAACACTGCTAGACGCAGCCAACTTGACGTACATCGTTCTTTCCGGTTTAGGATTTTGTTCCGTGTGCTTGTTCTCTTTCGAGCTAAGGCCGATTATTATAAAACCTTAATTTTTGGCAACTTGCACCAATTATTAAATAAGCAAACAGTTTAACAATGTCGACAAAAGCTGAGCTCGCATGCGTCTACGCCTCCCTCATCCTGGTTGATGACGATGTCGCCGTCACCGTAAGTGAAACATTGAAATTTCGAAACGAATCGGCAAAAATTGCTACAATCCCAATGGATTGTTTGCTGATTTGCACATAATAATATTTATATAGGAATTGTGGACCTTATACTAATTGTATTTATTGTTTTCGGCCTTTTGCAGGGTGAGAAAATCTCGACCATTCTGAAGGCCGCCAATGTTGAGGTCGAGCCCTACTGGCCCGGTCTGTTCGCCAAGGCGTTGGAGGGCATCAATGTCAAGGACTTGATCACCAACATTGGCTCCGGCGTTGGCGCTGCCCCAGCTGGCGGTGCTGCTGCACCCGCTGCTGCCGATGCGCCCGCCGCGGAGGCCAAGAAAGAGGAAAAGAAGAAGGAGGAGGAGTCCGATGTCTCCGACGATGACATGGGCTTCGGTCTGTTCGACTAAGCCACAGCAGCAGCAGCAGCAAGAATCATACAACGCCAACAACATCCGTCGCGTGTGTGAAGTGAAGTTTTTATTCTCCCCAATTTTCGTACACGTTTTAATGTACAGATGCGAGGAAATATAAAATGTTAACTACAACTGATTGCCATATTTTTCTGTATTTTATTGGGTCTCAAAATATGCCGTTTTTCAACACTTGCGCTATGGCCCTCAGGCCGGCTGTGTCCAGCCGCTTCAGGCCCAGCCCAATTAGCAGCTCGGTGGGGCACTTGTTGAGCGCCGTCTTATTGATCAGGAACTGAATGCCGCCGCGTATCTCGTCCGAGTCGATGCCCATGCAACAGTTAATTGTCACCGGCACCGAAACATGAAACTGCGGATCGTCCACGGGGCCGTGCAAATAGGGCAGCACCCGATGCTCGTGCTTCACATCGAACGTCACATTGTAGAGCGCCGGTATTTTGCCCAGCTGTGTAACCAGCAGCATCCATTTGTTCTGGAAGTCGTGGAATACAAACTCTGTGCTTATGCCATTTATGTCTATTGCAAATTGCTTATCAAAGCCACATTTATCGTTTTTGGTTTCAAACTCGCACATTTCGAAGCTAAACAAAAACAAAATGTGCTGTATAATTTTTTTGTGTGTTGTTTAAGGTTTAAAAAAACATATGATTCCAGAGACAACTGTTGCGGAACTGCTGCTCAACAGCGTGGCACACTTTGTTCTACGAAAGCCTCGCTTGTGCAAGTATAAACGTTTTTATTTTTGCGCAAATTGCAAAAAATAACAAACGAAAGACAAATTTGAATTTTAGCAGCAGCCACTTGCATTGGGCAAAACGATAACAGAGTGAGTCGGCGCTTATTCTCGGCAGTTGCGCGTTGCCCAACACTAAAACTATTGTAACGAAAACACGAGTCGCCAATTTTTTGCACAGCACTAAAACTATCGCTCTTTTAAATGCGGCAGCTTCGTTTTTAAGCTGACAGAGGGCGCCACAATGGGTCGTAACGTATTTTTAAAACTGGTTGCCAAGACGAATTTGTTGTTAAATCGATAGATATAGATGTAGAAGCGGATATATAGTTCTCGCAATGTCGTGCATCTGCCTTGGACCCAAGCGTGCTGGCAAAACACATCTGCTCAAGGCGCTGCAGGATCCGGAGTCCATGGATGAGACGAGCTACTCCATGCCCACCATTGGCACCGGCATCTTTCGCATCGTTTTCCCCGAAAAGTCATCACATGCCGACAGGCACAAGCCCCCGCCGCCACCGACAACTGATGCAGCCGCAGCCACGCCGCGTGCCGGCAAACATCTGGCCAAGTTTATACAAGTGCTCGAGATTGGCGGCAGCATGGCGCCGCTCTGGCGCCAGAGCCAGTACTTCGAGGATGTCAAGAAGCTCATCTATGTGGTGGACGCGTCCAATCTGTGTCAGATATCAGCTGCAGGTGCGTACGGCACCAATCCAAAGTTAAGGCTCATTCCAATATGTTTCATTTTCAGGCGTGCTCTTCTATTCGATTCTCACAGAGCCGCGCCTGCAAAAGGTGCGCATCCTTCTGGTGCTGACCAAAATGGATTACTCCTATCGCCAGATGCGCAACGAGGCGCTGCTCATGCTGCAAATGTCCAAGCTACAGAAACAGATACGCCAACAGGTGACCATCGTGGAGGCCAGCGCCGTCACCAAGGTGGGCCTGAACAGCATCTACGAATGGCTCCAGAGACCCTAAGGGGGATTATTTTAATGTATTGATATATATTTGCAAATAAACCAAGTTGAAACAGTTCCTCTCTAGAGTTTGTAGTTGAGATCCATGTACTGCAGATTGGCGTTCACCTCGCCGGCATCGGGCAGCACGTCCTTGGCGGCATTCAGATAGGACTTGGCGCCCATAATGTCGCCGCAGTGCGCCGCCAGCACGGCCAGATTGTTGAGAGCAGCTCCATCGCGTGCGTCGGCGGTGAGGCACAGTTGCAGGCAGCGCTTGGCCAGGTTGAAGTCGCCCGATGTCTGTGTAAAATATTGCTTCAGTTGAGAAATGAATACAAGAGAATGCTTCTGTTGAAATTAGTCGACTAGTAGATACCCTGTAGCCAGCTCAGAGCTGTCAACATGATTGGTTTGGGGCTAAAATATTACTGAGCTGTGCTGTGTCAAATTCTGTATGTAATGGACTAAGGGACGAGGCAGCGAATCGATATTTATCGATTTTGGGTTAATGTCAGAAGTTATCGCAAGCACAAAATGAACTTGATCTGTTCGTGCCTTACGTGAGCTTTCTCTTCAGATTAAATTAATACAAGTTGAAGTTTGTTTCTTCAAGATATGATCAATGAAAATGATGAAAATTGGCCTATTCAGAACCGATATTTATCGATTTCGAGAAAAGTAGTGAAAAAGTTATCGACATTTGAAAAAAGTTTGATCTGTATAGGCTTTAAAGAAGCCAATATATATTCATTACAAATCAGAAAGATAAGGATAAATCCGAAAAAATAAGAGAAATAATCGATATTTATCGATTTTGGAAAAGTGGGCAACAAGTTATCGATTAACACAAAACTTGAGCTGTGCGTATTTTGTGATCTAGCTCTACAGACTCCGAGAAGAGTAACGCACAGATGGACTGGATGCTGATCAGGAATATATACAGTAAATTTGTAGATTCGTTCTTCGCATCAATATACCCTTTTTCAGCTAGTTTTAATGGGAATCATGTTTAAAGATGTACGATATACTGACCACGGCCACAAAGCTGAGGTTATACCAGACGTCGGCCTTCTGCTCCGGCTGCGTGGCCATCTGGAGCGCGCGCTGAAAGCAGGGCAGGACCAGATCAATCTGGCCGCCATAGAGACAGCAGAGGGCAATGTTGCAGTAGAGCTCGGAGGTATGGACGCCGAGGGAGAGGATGCGTCTGTAGTACATGAGCGACATTTCCGGATTGTTGTCGTAGAAGTAGCCGACGGCAATGCTGGCCAGCGCCTCGACATTGATGGGCTGCAGCTTGGCCGCCAGCCGATAGAGCTGCAGTGCATCCTCCTGCTGCAGCATGGCCGCATGGATGCGCGCCTGCTCCAGCCGAAAGGCCACATCGAACGGCTGCCGCTCCACGGCCTGCCCGATCAGCAGCAGGGCACGCTCCGGCTGTCGCAGGCGCTGATACAGGCGCGAGAGCAGCAGATACGTGTCCGGATGCGGGAATGCCGCCAGCGATTGCTGCAGCGCCGGCTCCGCGCGTCGCGTATAATGCAGCGCCAGCAGGCAGCGGCCCAGCTGCTGTTGCCACCACCAATCCGTGCGAGCGGCATCCGCGGGCGTGGCCAGCGCTCCCTGGGCGTGGCCGGGCCGCTGCTGGCGCTGCACGTCGAGCACCGCCTGGCAGAGCGAGTGCGCCTTCTGGACGTCCGCCTCGTGGTAGTAGAGGAACTGGAACAGCGCCTTCACAATGGCCTCGCGCTCCGCATAGATGGTCGGATTGAGACGCGACGCCTGGTACAGCGCGGCCGTCGCATCGCCCACATTGAAAGCCGCCGCCGAGGTGGCGCGCACCCGGGACGCGGTGCCGCAGCGCGAGGCGGGACGTGCGCCCAGCGCGGAGCCCGGCCGGCTGACGGCCGTGCCGGGTCGTGTCTGTGCCGAGCCGGGCCGTGCGCTGTCGCTGGAGCGGCTCAGGCCCGTCGCCAGGCGTCGCTGGCTGGTGCTGGGACGCGGCAGGAAGGCGGTCTTGATGCTGCTGCCGGGTCGTGCCGCTGTCGCGATCCGCTCGAATTCCACCTCCTCGTTTGCTGTGGGTCGAAGGCGGGCTCAGGTTGTAGTTGGTTCACCTTAAGCTAGAGATGGGCGCGTGTCGCTGTTTTCTTTGAGCACGACATATCGATATGTCGGAAACACGGCTTTTATGATATAGTAGGTAATGCCCGACTAGGAGATACCCTAAGCACGACCCAGAAATACCCTGAGCAATATATATCGATATAGTGCAAAAACTACTGTTCTAGTCGGTAATGCCCGACTAGGAAATACCCTCTTCACGATTCAGAAATACCCTAAGCACGACATATTGATATATTGCAAACAGGACTTTTATTATGTAGTCGGAATTCCCGACTTAGAGATACCCTCTGCACGACATATCGATATATTGCAAACAGGACTTATATGCGATAATGTCCGACTAAGAGATACCCTAAGCACGACTAATAGATACCCTAAGCACGACATATCGGTATACTGCAGGCCCGACTTTTATGCTATAGTAGGTAATGACAGACTACGAGATACCCTAAGCACGACTTGGAGATACCCTATCGATGCATTGGAAACACGTCCTCTAGAGCATTTCTAGTCTAGTAATGGCCGACTAGAAGATACCCTAAGATCTTAATGTAATTTGAAAAACCCAAAAAAGGGCTAGAAAAATGAAGTGTAACTAGGTATCATAATTTTCAAAATCGATATTTATCGGTATGAGAGGAACAGGCGGACGAACTATCGAATCGATTGTTGATACTGATCAAGAATATATATATACTTGATGAAGATGGAGATAATTTCTAACAAAGTGAATATAACATATATAAACATACATATAGCTAACTTATTGAACTTTTTGTGTTTTTTTTTTGCTACAAAATATGCCTCACGTCGTGTCACGACACGCGCCCAGCTCTAATTCTGGGCTATAATTGATGCTGATCAAGAATATATATCTGATTTATGGGGTCGGATATGTCTCTCACATTTCTCTAAATGAACTTTTTGGGATACCGGAAATATGTCCTAGGTCGTGTCACGACACGCGCCCATCTCTAGAACCCTAGACTTAGCCTTGCTTAGCTGTCACTCACCCGCATCGTCCGCATCGTCCACGTCAAGATCGTCCAGGTAGACGCGCTGCGTCAGGGCGCGCATCTTTAATTGCCAGACGCCCTCCATCAGCCAGGTGGGCATTATGGAGGCTGCGGATGAGGCTGAGGCGGCGACTCCATCGTGTACACGTCGCCTGGGGCCAATGCGCTGCAAATTGCTACCGTATCGACTGTGGCTCGACTCGTGCTCGGCCAGCTGCTGCTCCCGCTGCTTCCGCTGCTCCTCCTGCTGCTGCCCTTCCTCCGCCTGCTGCGTCGGCTTGGCAAAGATTTGCACATTGTTGTCATGGCCGGCTTGGAGCAGCGCATTGCATGCCTCGGCGCATCTCTCGTAGCTGCGCCGTCGATAGAGCGAGATGGCACGGAAATATTCCAGCTCCAGTGTCGCCAGCGTTGCCGTCGCAGTCGCCGGCGCAGTCGCCGTCGCCGTCGCAGTCGGCGTCATCAGGCTGGCCAAGTGTTTGAATTCCTCTCTGTCGCGGAGCAGCTGCTGCGCCTCCTGCTTCTCGCTCCCGTCTCCTGCTGCTGCTCGTTTCTGTTGGAATTTTAAAACCGGATGCGTGTCATTCCTTGGCAACGCCCCTGCCCCCGGCACCCGGCCCCGCCCCCGCCCGCACCACTTCCTGCCCGCCTGCTGCTAATGTTTTTTAGTGGCTGCTTCTTCTTGTTTGTGCCCGCATATTTCTGATTTTTTTTTTAATTTGTTCGCGTCTCTTCTAATTTTTCTATGCCCATAATTTGTACCTACCTTGATTTATCTCTTCTTTTTTTTTCGGCCCTTGATGAGTTTTAATTTGTGAAATCCTTTCGTCTTGCGGTTTGTTGTGGCCCGACGACTTTTTTCTGTTGGATTTCCGCCTGGCTCTACTGGGAATTGCGGTTGCCATGACAGCTTTTTAATAGGCCACAACAAATTCAATTAATTGTGACTCAGTTGTTTATTCGAAAAAAAAATAAATTAAATATTTTTAACAATTTTTCAACATTTTTCTTAACGCTGAAAAACTTCTTGGTATAGAGTTTACTTTTTAAATTATTTACCAGTTCTTTTGAGGGCTGGAAACACAAACATTTTCATTGGTTCGGTTCACGCTTGGAACCAGTTCTCTGCCTTTCGGTTCCTTAACTTATCCTTAACTTAATTTTAACTTTATTTTAAATGTTCACTCTAGAAAAAAAGTAATTCTGGTATTTTAGCTATTTTATGGCTAAACTGCAAGAGCTAGAGAATTTAATAAAATTCCGTTCGCTAGAAATCCTTCTATCTATAATCTTTCATCTATAATAAAGGACATTTTTGGCACGTCGCTCTTGTGATATGTTAGACAGAGACATCTCCGATCCCATAGAGTCTATATACATTCCAGATCAGGATCAACAGGATCAGGATATATCCCAGTCTCTCCCACTGTCTGTTTCTATGCGAACTAATCTCTCAGTCTTAAAGCTATTGCCTTGAAATCTTAGGCTCGTATTTCTCTTATGTCGGAGCTGGTCGGATCGGACCACTATAACATATAGCTGCCCCAGGAACGATCGGAGTGAAATTAGGTTCTGGTATATAAAACTTTTTTGTTTGTCAAGATATCTAAACCAAACTGGGCATTTATAACTTTTGCTATGTTTCCCATATATATGCAAAATTTGATCAATATCGGACCACTATATCATATAGCTGCCCTAGGAACGATCGTTACGAAATTAGGTTCTGGTATATAAAACTTTTTTGTTTGGCAAGATATCTTACCGAACATCGACATTTATAGGTTTAACTATATCCGCCAAATGTATGTTAAATCTTGTCAATATCGGAGCACTATATCATAAAGCTGCTATAGGAAAGATCGGTCTAAAAGTTGTTTCTTATGTGGTACTTTCATCAAACTCCGCATTTGTGAGCTTCACTTTTCGCACATATCTGTAAAAGAGGAATGTCTGCAAGGGCAACAAATCTTCGGCGTGCCAATTAAGCCTGTGTCTTTGTGTTTGCAGCCCTGGCACAGAGTTTCGAGTTTGTATTGAAGTCGAACATTTCAAAATAAAATTCTTTGCCTAGCCTTATGGCTTGCAAAATTGTTCAATTTGATGGCATATTCATGCTTAGTTCTATGTAGAACATTTTGTAATATGCTGACCCCTCAACCCTCCCCTCTGCACTCCACAGCAATTAGCAGCGACAGCAAAAAAAAAAAATGCAAAAGCAAGATTCTGTGAGCTGCTGAGCAAACGTTATGCAAAATTTGACACAGAATCGAAGTTGAGTTGGGGTAGGGGGAAATGTGGGGAGTGCGGGGAGAGGGGGGCCTTGTCAGGTGTTCCGCTGATGATCAGCAGCATCTGGTGCGGCTAACAGAGGAGATGTGGAGGGGGCAGAGGGTAAGGGGGGGGGGGGGGGGAGAGTGTGGAGTTGCTCAGACGCCGTCTCAAGCGCTGCTGCTGTTTGGCTCGAACAAATGATAAGCGCCAAATATTTGTTGATAAATGTTTGGAAATTAAATGAGCGGCAACAACAACAACAACAACCGACAACAAGTAAGAGTGCTCGAGGGAGTATCCGACTGGGAGATACCCTACTTTTGCTGAGCAGCTCGTTCAAACATTCCTTTATACCCTATAAAAAGCACACGTATGCACACACACACACACACACACACACATGCAGGTCGCTAACTGCGCAGCGACTGTGCTTCTTCTTCTTCTTCAGCCTCCCAAATTCACGTCTCATACCATAAGCATCCTTTTTTAACTCGAGTGTTTACAGTCCGATCTTTATGAAAATTTCAGGTATTAAATATGACATACAAAACTGCGTACATGCCAAAGCCCTGAGCTCTACCCGAAAAAATGTTTTATTTTCCAATTTTCTGGGTATTGGAGAAAGATATCCAAGAAGTGATTTATTTTTAATCTGTATATACTATACTATACCTACATCCCAAATCTTTCGTGTGTAGCTCTTAGAATTCTCGAGTTATGCCAAAAAAAATCATGCTCTAATATCGATTTTTAAAGATATTATGGAAATTACTGGAAGATATCGAAAGAAAGAAATTAGAAACTCATTCAGGATTTGGTCTGGGAGAATACAGATTTCAAACATCAAGTCTATAGCTACTGTAGTTGCCAAGTTCGGAAGAGTTTTGAGGGAAAGGCGTCCTGCTAATCAAGTACCTATGTACCTTATGGCCCCGCAGATGCTTCCAAGTCAAGTAGTTTGCTTCTATAGTTGCCAAGTTAAACCCATTTAGACGGATGGACTCTGCTCGTTCTGATCAAGAGCCTGTAGACCTACTGCCTTAACATACATAGGCAACAAATCTATATACCCCGTGCTTGGCCATTATCAATGGGTTCGGGGCGTGACAAGCGACGGCAACGTTGACGTACACGTTGAACTCATCGCGCTGGCATGCAAAAGCTAAATATTTATCAGCCCCAAGTATATGTTTGTATATATGTACCCCAATCGAGTACATATGTATAGATTGACAAATATTCTATGTAAATGTATCTGTATCTGAAAGTCTGTAAGTTAAGCTTTGGCTCCCACGGCTCGCCGCGTTTGAATAATTTTCAAAAGAGGCTCTAGAAATATTTCACTTTGAATGTTAACGTATATGCAAAAAGATATGAATACTGATATGAATCAAGTGGTGAATACAGTTGTGAATCAAGTTGTGAATACAGAAATGTTTAGATTTGGCAAAAAGTTTTATGGCTCATTATCTCGACTGACAAGATACACATGTTGCGCGTATCTTGTATCTGATATCTTGGCGCTTGTATCTTGACTTTGGAGACATCCTCCCATCACAGACTCAAAAAGCTGTGCTCGACTGGCATAATACCCTGTAGTCTGTGAAGTTAGAAAAAAAAAGGAAATGTGTATCTATCCAAATCTCTAGAACTGTAGAGCATCAATTATGCGAACCTATTGATTTTAAAGCAAAAGCTTCCTTGAGTAACTCTTATATATATTTATGAATCGATCTTGATAGAGGAAATACTATAAATAGCTGGGTTAGGGGATTATTTTGTGGGTGTATAAAATCGATTTGAAAGAATTTATATAAAAAATTTATAACTTTAAAACTTATAGTTTGTATACTCTACCCTGTTACATACACTTCCAGCAGTGCATCATACCCGCTTGCACACTGTTTGCGTTTACAGGGTATACAAAATTTATGGTGCTGCATTTGTACTCTACCCTGTTACATACACTTCCAGCAGTGCATCATACCCGCTTGCACACTGTTTGCGTTTACAGGGTATACAAAATTTTTGGTGCTGCATTTGTACTCTACCCTGTTACATACACTTCCAGCAGTGCATCATAGCCGCTTGCACACTGTTTGCGTTTACAGGGTATACAAAATTTTTGGTGCTGCATTTGTTTTGCTTATCAGTTGGCCAAAATGCGTCAGCATTGGCAACTTGACTTTTATCACAAGCTCACACACACACTTTGTTTTTTTTTTTTGCTAATTTTTGTCGTAGCTGGCATTAATCATACGCCCCGTAGAGGACGCGACGAGGCACATCTCCAGCTCCACGTAACGAGCTCCACGTAACCCGAATCCCAACAGCCCATCAGCCGGGCCCAGCTGTCAGCCGGCCAGATTTTTGGAGCGAATCGCGCAGCTGGCGCTAGTCTAGCAATAAAAATGCAATTATATATATATATATATATATATTCTCTACTCGTAACGAATTCCACACACAAATATTTGGCCGGAGACACACATGTGTGCAAATTGGAGAGCTGACAGGCGGGCTAAGCTTTCGTAAACACGGGAATATGTTTTGGGTAAGGCTTTTCGCTTTTCGGGGAATAAGGCAAAAACAAATGTGCACTGAGGAATGCCAAAGAATAGTTGGAAATGCTCGCAAGGGTTGGATTTTGCGAAAAGTGTGAAACACATTTCGCGCAATTATGAAGAAGATATTTAAAAAAAATTCTATAAAGACGATCAGATGTTAAACAATATAGTTTCAGGCAATACTACAATTCTTAAGATTCGCAATCCAAAAAAATATGTGAGGAAATTCAAGCGTATTCGGAATGCCAAAGCATAGTTAGAAATCCCCGCGAGGCGTGGATTTTACGAAAAATGTGAAATACATTACGGGGAATTGTCAAAAATATCTTTGAAGATGTCTATCAAGTCGATCATAACGTAAGTAATATATACAGAACTTCGATAAACTCTGGGAGCACAGAAAACGTGGCTGGAAATTCATCGATATCGATATTTTTATCGAAGCGTTGGAAAAGTAACCTTTTGTAAAATCTGGCAACTCTAGCTCCTAAGGTATCAGCATATATGAAGAATATACACATCTATATGGCATATGCCCAGTTTTTTTTTTAAATTTACAGGGTATAAAATGCAAGTCTCATATCTTCAGCGCCATTTTTTGCCATTGACTTCATATGATGGAACGTGTTTTTGAAATAATTTTCACACATTTTCGTCTAGTACTTTGAGCTTTTTGTTAGTTCATAACAACAACAACAAGAACAACAACGTCAACGTCATGATCATGAGAATCTTAACTATTGTGAACGTATTGATTATTTATACAAGTGTTTGCGGTTTGCAAAACTATTCAGAGTTCCCGCATAGTTTCCGCAAAGTGTTGCCGATGTGCAAAGAAAATTTCGCATTAATATTTTTCAGTTATGCAAAGGGCAGGCGAGACTAGGGGCAGAAGGGGGGGGGGGGGGGAGGGGGGCAGCAGTGAATGCCCAAACACTGGCATTCCAATCCTGCGGCTGCCGTTTTGGCCATGTGGCCGCCTGTGCAATAT